AATGTAATGGCATTTTATATTCACAATTTTGTATTCATGTTGTTAAAAAAAAGACAATAAAGTTATAGATGCTTCAGTCTCCACAAAGTCTGTGTCTGCCTTTGATTGGAATATAATGAAATGTAAGTTTTATGAAAAGAAAAAAGAAAAGAAAATCAGTAAACAGGAAAATAGGCTAGAGGAATCTGCAGAATGCATCTCAAAGAAAAAGGAGAACAGGGAAAGCATTTAAGAAATTTGAAGGTGGGACCTGGCCGGGCCTGGCTCAGCGGTTGAGCATCGACCTAGGATCCAGGAGATCACGGTTCGATTCCTGGTCAGGGTACATGCCTGGGTTTCAGGCTTGATCCCCAGCAGGGGGCATCCAGGAGGCAGCCAATCAGTGACTCATCATTGATGTGTCTTTCTCTCCCCCCCCCCAAAATCAATAAAGATATATTTTTTAAAAAAGAAATTTGAAAATGGACTGAGTTAAAAGACTTAACATATGTTGATGAGAGTTTTAGAAAGATACAACAGAGAGTAAAGGATAGAGGTAATATCTAAAGAGGTAATGGCAAATTATTTTTCAGAACTGATGAAATATACTAATCTGCACATTAAATAAGCTCAACCAGTTTCAAATTTGTTAAATTAAAAGAAGTCTACATTAGTCACATTACAGTGAAACAACAGAACACCACCTATGAAGTGAAAAATTTTTAAACAACCAGGAAAAGAGGGTTTATTTTCAAAAGAATCCACATCAACAATTAACTTCACAACAGAAGTAGTGGAAGCCAGAAGACATGATAATACATGATATCATTTTATATACTGAAGGAAACTAATTGCCAACCTAGAATTCTATACACAACAAAAATGTCCTTCAATAATGAAGATGAAATAAACATTTTAAAACAAAATAATAAAAACAAGACCTAAGAGATTTCTTTCCAGTATCCCTGCACTAAAAGAAATAGTGAAGCTTATAATTAAGGGAGAAGGTAAGTGATCCCAGATAACAGGTCTGATGTGCAAGAAGAGCTGAAGAGCAAGTTTTAAATTTGTAGGATAAAGCCAAGTGAACATTGACTGTATAAAGCAACAATAACAATATGTAGTGGAGTTTAAAAATATAGAAATAGCCCTGGCCAGTGTGGCTCAGTTGGTTGGGCATCATCCCATTCACCAAAAGGTTGCTGGTTCAATTCCCAGTCAGGTCACATGACCGGGTTGTAGCTCAATCCCCAGTGTGGGGTATGCAGGAGGCAATCAATCAATGTTTCACTCTCACATTGATGTTTCTCTCTCTCTCTCTCCCCTTCTCCCTTCCTCTCTCTCCAAAAATCAATAAACTATTCTTTTTTTAAAAATCTTAAATATATATAAAATACACTATAACAGTAGTACGTATTATGAAAGAGTAAATGGAGATACAGTATTCTAGATTCTTGTATTGTCTAGGATGGAGATACAGTAATTAACTTTAGATGTCAGTGTGTTAAGAGTGCATATTGTAGCTTCTATGGTAACCAAAGAATAAAAGAATATATAGCTTTCAAACTAGTAAGGGTAGGGATAGGAGGATGGGGAGAAGAAAAATAGAAAAAGTACAGAACATGTGAATCAACTAGAAAGAAAAAAATATCAAATTTAGCCTAAATACTGCTATATCAGCACTTAACATTTATACCATAAGTCAGTGTCTTAAAACAAAACACATCCCCCCCTTCTGCCCCCAAGCCCAGTCTCCAGATCAGCTGGGTGGTTCTTCGGGCCTCAGCCAGGTTCCTCGTGCATCTGTAGTCCCCTATGGGTTGGACAGGCAGCTCTGCTGATCTAGCCTGACTTTGTCATTTGTTTGGGGGTTGGTGAGCTATATGCTGGTCTAAGAAGGCCCGTAGTTGGGACAACTTGTCTCTGCTCCACATGGCCTGTCATACTCCAGAAATCTCTGCTCCACCTGGTTGGTTTTTATGGCAGAGGGAAGGTTTGAAGAGAGAGTGGAAACATGTAAGACCTCTTGAGGCCTAGGTTAAGAACTGACACACTATCCTTTTCCACATTGTATTGGTCAAAGCAAATCACAGAGCAAAATTTAAGGGACTTAGAGCTATTCTTTACCTAGCTGCAAAATCACATTGTAAAGGGCATGGATTCAAGGAGTTCTTAATTATGATTACCAATATAACCAATCCACCTCAATGATAAAATGCACATGTACTAATTATTCTGGTTAAAAGCCAAAGATTGTCAGACTGGGGGGGAAAAAGAAGTTCAATTATATGTTATTACAGGAAACACATCTGAAACATAAGATTATATAAAGTTTGAAAGTAAAGAAGTGGGAAAAGATAAACAACATCAATACTAACCAAAATAAAAACAGAAAGCCATTGAAGACTAAAAAGACTAAGGTTAAAAGCAATACTAGAAATATAAAGAGGATCATTTCAAAATGATAATAGGTTCAGTTCACCAGTAATATAATGATAAATATGCTAATTTAATTTGTGTGTGTCCATTAGCATAGCCTTAAACATGTTTAAGCCAAAAGTTGACAGTACTGCAAATCCACATCACATTGGGAAGTTTTCATATACCTCTGGGCAGTTAATAGAAAAAAGGTGAAATATCTGAACAACCTTTATTTACAATTTGACTTAATGGACATTTGGAGAACATTGCCCCCAACAACTGCAGATTGTACATTGTTTTCAAGCAGACATGGAATATTTACAAAAATTAACCAAATATCCTTGCCAGCGTTGCTCAGTGGTTGACTGTTGACCTATGAACCAGGAGGTCACAGTTAGATTCCCAGTGAGGGCACACGCCCAGGTTGCAGGCTTAATCCCCAGTAGGGGGCGTGCAGGAGGCAGCTGATCAGTGACTCTCTCATCATTGATGTTTCTATCTCTCCGTCTCTCTTCCCCTCCCTGAAATCAATTTTAAAAAAAAATAACCAAATACTATTTGTAAAGCAAATGTCAACAGATTCCATGTTCTCTGTTCAAAATGCAATTAAACTTTAACTCAATTACAAAATGTTAACCAGGAAATTCCCACATATTTGAAAATTAAGGAAAATTTCTAAATAACCCACAGGTTAAAGACTGTTTCATAATGGAAATCTGAGACTACTTTGAACTGAAATCTAATAAATATGACGTTTCAAAACTTGTGGAATCAAGTTACCATGGTACTAAATGGAAACATTTTAGCCTTGAAATGAATATATTAAGAATAAAGCCTGAAAATGAATGAGCTAAACATTGTGCCTAAAGAAATTAGAGAAAGAACAGCAAAATAATTCTGAAGAGTTAAAAAAAGAAATAATAACATTAAAAACAGAATTAGTGAAAAGTTGATTACTTGAAAATACTAAAAAAAGTGATATAAAATGCATGTTTACATTACTCTTGTAATTTAAAAATCAAAGAAAATGCAGATAAAGACCTATGTTACTCACTTTTTTCTTTATAAAAATGAGAGTATTGTACTACCTAAATATCCAGTAAAAATGATTGATTAGATATATTGTGTTCTATATAATAATTGATTTTTATATATTCATTAAAATTATTAATTTTTAAAATATGTTTAGAGAGAGGGTAAGGGAGAGGGAAAGAGAGAGAAACATTGATGTGAGAAACATCAGTCAGTTGCCTCCCGGGGGCTTGAACCTGCAGCCTGGGTATGTGCCCTGACCGGGAATCCCACCTGTGACCCTTCAGTGCACGAGACAACTGAGCAACACCAGGAAGGGCAAAATTATTAATTTTTTTTTAAAATATATCTTTATTGATTTCAGAGAGAGGAAGGGAGAGGGAGAGAGAGAGAGAGAAACATCAATGATGAGAGAGTCATTGATCGGCTGCAGCCCGCAACCCGGGCATGTGCCCTGACTGGGAATCGAACCCCGATCGCCTGGATCCCAGGTTGATGCTCAACCGCTGAGCCACGCCCGGCCGGGCAAAATTATTAATTTTTAATGACATGGAAAAGCCAATTGTATAACATTAAGTGAAAACAGTACACAAAATTGGATGTTTAGTATGATCTTAACTTTTTACAAAAATTTATACAAAAAGCCTAAAATGAAGTATGTCAAATGGGAACAATGTTATAGATTTATATATATATTTATGTGCTATAGATTTATGAATGATTTTAATCTATTTCTCTATATTTTTCAAAATTTGTATTCCTTCCAATTTCTAAAATGATCGTGTTACACTTTTAAATTGGAAAAAGGAAGAAATTTTAAAAGAAACATTCTTCTGTTCCCAGTCTTAAGTTCCGGCCAAGTAGGACTATCACTTCATGTACAGACACTCTAAGTGTGGAAACCAGAAGCAACTTTCATGGAGGATGAGTTGCAGGCCTCTGGGTTCGGCTCATGGGTCTGTGGGTCTGTGAGTGACACTGAGCATAGTTTATGTTCTTCTTCATAACCAAATGAGCCTTCCTGTTTCATTATTTACCTCCTGCTGGGGTCTTGCCCTGATACACTAACAGTTGGAAGTTTTTTGTTTTCTGCTTGTTTTGGTTTTGCCTGAACCTAAACCAGTATCCCATTCCATTTTCTAGCTATGAATAATACTACTGAACTGCATAGTGGAATTATGAACTATTTGTGTGCTTTATAAGAGGATAACTAACATGTTTTATAGAATATAAAGACTTTGCAGGTTTGACCTACTACCTCTTTAATTGGGTGGTTTTGTGCTCTATGATGACTTAATTTTTGTATTGATGTTTTTTAAGTCGAGTTTCTTTTCACTTTAGAAGTGCTTGAGACATGTTTATGTTGATGACTGGTAGAATAAAAATTTGTGCTAAATAGCTTGATTAATAGAAAGATTGGGGTACTGAACTGAGCTCAAGTAAATAATTAACTCAAACTCACAAAACATATTCAAGAGTATATGTTCTGTTCTTAAATCAACAAAGAAATGGACATACGTTAATAAGTCTGTTAAGTAACTCTCTGTCTCTTTACTGTCTTTCTGCAGGAAGAAGCAATTCCGGTATCTGCAAGAAACCAAGGGGAAAAAACCTGGTATTGTCAATGAAGAAAATAATGATAGCAAAAGATTTGTAGGAGAAAACACAAATCGTGCTATGCTGAATTATACCACAAGAGACTTTTATAATGAAAAGCTAGAGGTAAAACTACCATTGATTTTTGGAATCTAATGCCTGGATATATCCCACATGGCTTAGGACTTAGTAGCTGTACATTTCTCCTCCAGCAGTTGAGATAACCTTTTTGTGTTTTTGCTGTTCTGGAATGTTAGCCAGCCTTAAATATACAGAAGTGGGGACAGTAGGCACCAAGGCATGAGGAAGAAGTAGAGCCCATAGTTCCAATATCTTCATTTCTGCAGGGAAAAAAATCTTCAAAAGAAATCTGTACCAAAAATCTAGACCAGAGTAGGACCAAGGGTCCTAATGTCTCTGAATTAAGAAAAGGGCTCTAGGAATTGCTGTGAATACTTAACTAGCCCATGCCAGAATGGCAGAGGACACATTTCTGTTCCCTTTGCTTGAGTCCTTGATGATTTAATTTACTTCTTTCAATTTTCTACACCATTAACTTCTGTATTCTTAATCATATAATTTGGGCCTGTTCTGTTTCCATTGTAACTACACACTCAAAGTATTCAGAGGTTTACTGGGGGGATGCAATGTTAGGGTGCTGCATGAGCTACAAAGAAGAAAAGCATGCAGTTTCTGCCTTGACGGAGCCCATGAAAAATCTGAAGAAAGAGTCATCTAATGAACAATAGAATGTTAGACTCTATAAGAGATTTTGAGGGACCAAAGGGCAAAAGAATAGACAAAGACATCAGGTAGCACTGACTGAGCACCTATGACTCATGTGCAAGGCACTATACATAAATACAGATACATAGATATGCCATCTATATATAGAGATATCATAGGTATATAAAATTTGAAGTGAAATAAGCAAGTAGTTTTCAAATGTGTGCTTTTTTAACAGCTATGGAACTCTTTATTCAAACCATATTGTAGCTGAAAACCCAGTTGGTCAAAACAAAGCGTAAGAGCAGAGCTGGTGTTGTAGAGGAAGGGTAAGGGTTCGGAGCTCCATTTGATTGGATTTCTTTTCCTCTCCCCTCATTTGACTCCAATCCTGAAGCTTCTCTTTGGAACCCATAGAGCTTTGTGGATCATAGCTTGAAAATCACTTGAAAACTCAGTGTATGTAACAATATTTTTATAGCATCCTAAAAGATGTTCAGATTCTGCTTTCAGTTCTTCTAGTGCAAGAAAGGTCACTGCTTCATGACGCAGCTGCATATCGCTGAACAACTCCAACTATGAAGCAATTCCTACCCAAATTAAGCTAATTACTTTCATTTAATTAATCTAGTACTGCTTTGTGTTGAATAGAGAACATTTCTTTCTTAGGAAAACTCTTTAAATACTTAAAGTCAGCTAATCCTCTGTCTCTTCTTAATTCTGTCTACATTTATACTTTCACTCATTCAAAAATCATATTTTGAGTACCTATCACATATAGTACTTGGGCTGTCTGAAGTTCCTGTCTTATCCTCATGGATCTTACATTCTATTAGAGGAGATGGACATACACAGAGATAATTACAAATCAGTATATCAAGAGAGTGCAGGAGAGATGGCTAACCCTGTCCAAAGAAGGCTTTCTAGAGAAACTTCCTGAAGTCAGTCTTAAAGGGTAAAAAACTATATATCAAAGGGAAGAGGGCAGTTCTGGCAAATAGCACAGTGTGAATAAAAAGCATAGAAGTATAAAAAGATAAGGAGAGGGCCAGGAACTGTAAGTAGTTTAGTGTTATTGAAGCACAGAGATTGAGGTGGGTGGTGTTAAAAGATGAGACTGGAAGGTAATAAGAGGGCTCTGTGAAAGAGACAACATAATCCTTTGGCCATTAGAGGCTTCCTGATTTTGTAAAAAGAGGAAAATGAAAGCCAAGCTGTCAGGATTATGAGTCCTTCTCTTCCTGAAAGGAGATGGTTCTATGAGTCAAAAATTAATACAATTTCTATAAAAGACATTAAGAAAAATGTCAAAGAGCTGCATTCAGAACAGGGGCAGTTTCATAGAGAAATCTACCAACTCTTTAAGAGGCAGACAATTCCAATGATTTTTAAATTTTTCAAGAGTACTGAAAAAGAAAGAAAACTTACATTTTGTCAAGGTTGCCAGCATAACATGTTCTGTCAGGATTGCACAAAAAAAGAAAAACCAGACCAGATACCTAAGAATATTAATGTTGCAAAAATCCTTTTAAATGTTACCAATCAGAATACAGCAGAACATTAAATGAATAACAAACATTGCAGCCAAGTGTAGTTTATTCTAGTAAATTAATAGACCTAAGGTGGAAAAATTGTGATGATTCCTATAGGTGTTGAAAAGGCATTTCACATAATTGAACACCCGTTCCAAATTTTCTTTAACAAAATAAATAGGATAACTAGAAATTGAATAGTAAACATCATCGTGATGGGGAAATCTAGAAAGATGAGCATTAGTGGAGGCAGAATTATAAGGTGGCCTCCGCAGTTCCCACCCCCCGCTATGCACGCGCTCGGATTGTATCTCCCCTAAGTGCAGGTAAAATGTCTCACTTGTTTCTAACCAGTGGAAGATGGCAAGGGTAAGGGAATTTTGCAGATATAATTAAGATCCCTAATTAGTTGACTTTGAGTTAATAAAAAGGAGATTATCCTGGTTGAGCCTGACCTAATCAGGCAATCCTTTAAAAAGGGATTCAAGATTTCCCTGAGAGTCTCCTACAGGCTTTAAAGTAGTAAGCCAACATATTTTGAGAAGGTTACACAGGAAAGAACTGTGAGAAGCTTCTAGAGAGCAATTCCCTGCTGACAGCAAGGAAGAAAATGGGACTTCAGTCCGACAACTGCAAAGAAGTGAATTCTGCCACCAACTACTTGAGCTTAGAAGAGGACTCCAAGCTTCAGAAAAGGACACAGCCTGGCTGACACCTTGTGACGCTCTGAGCAGGGCGTCAAGCTAAGCCATGCCTGGACTGACGCATGGAAACTTGTGCGATAGCTTGTGTTGTTTTGAAGCCACCAAGTTGGAGGTAATCTTTGCACAGCAATAGAACATCAGTGCATTATTGAAGTCAGAATCAAGACAAGGATGTCCAATATCACCATTATTATTTATCAAAATAAGTAATATACAGTTAGACCAGAGAAAGAAATCATTAGTAATTTCACAAGAAGGGAGTGAACTTACCATTTTCAAATATTATTGAATCCCAAGAGAATTAATTGATAAACTATAACATGATCTCACTTATATGTGGAATCTAATGAACAAAATAAAATGATGAACAAAATAGGTCTAGAGGCATTGCCGTATGCTACAGACTGATGTATTTCAGAGGGAAGGGGGGTGGGGTGGGGAGAGATTAATCAAAGAACTTACATACATACATGCATAGCTCATGGACAGACAATAGTTGGGGGAAAAGCCTGGGGAGAGGGCAGGAGCGAGGTGGAGGGGGTCAAAGGGGGGAAAAGGGGGACATCTGTAATACTTTCAACAATAAAGATAAATTTTTAAAAAAAGAAAATTTCGTAATGGAGCAGAAATCAACAGCTTCCATATATATAAATAACAAAAAAGTAAATGTAATGGAGGAAAGACCCAACTCACAGTAACAACAAAAAAAGATAAAATATCTACTAAGAAACTAATATGCAAGAGCTATACGAAGTACACTTTAAAACATTAATGAAGCACACAAAAGATTTATGCAAATGAAAAAAACCTGCCATGTTTTGGATAAGAAGGACCTAAAGTAAAATGTTAGTTTTCCTTGAGTTAATTTAAAAATTTAATGTGATTCCAATAAAAGTGCAAAAAATTTTTCATTCAAATGTGTTTTTAAACAAGTTGATCCTATGATACCTGTGGGAAGATAAACAAATAGCCATAAAAGCTCTGAAAAAGAAGAACAGCACTGCTAGATGTTAAGGCATGTTATAAGGTTTACCAGTTCAGACAGACTCGCTATGAAGAGATGGTCTGATGGAATAGAATGAAAAGTCAAGTATATATCTCAATGCAAAAGAGAGGTTATTATATGATAAAGAATAATCTCAAACTGGCCAGGTGGACTATCCAACAAATGATTTGAGTATAATTAGGAAACTGAGAAAAAAAGCAGGGTTTGGTCGTTATGTCTCACACCAGCATAAATTCCCAATGAATCAGAGATTTTAAAGTTCCTAATGAAAGCAAAAAAATTCTACAAGAAATCATGGAAAATTAAGGTGTAGCATTAGGATGGGTCTATTTTATTCCCCATTAGGGGAATAAAATAAACAAAGATAAATGACAAAAAATAGTTTGCAATAATCTACCTAAATTATAAAGAGCTTTCAGAAAAGGAGCCAATAATGCAATCTAGGTTGCATTATTTATTCAAAAACTAATTTCAAATAACATGCCATTTACCACAAAAGCAAACATTGTAGGCATGAATAATAAAATATGCATAAACCCTTTATGGAGGTTTCTGTAAAATTGTGAGAGAAGAGCTAATGTTCTTGGACAGAAACTTTTTACATGATAAAAATGTCAATTCTCCCTAAATCTATTCATAAATATAAGGCAGTTTTAATCAAAATTTGGACAGGGTTATTTGTGGAACTTCACCATTTGGTCATAAAAGTTATCTGATAGAGCACAGTTTTTAAAAAGTTATCTGATAGGCCTAAAATACACAAGAGTAAAAGTGGGAGAACTTGCCTCACCAGATAGCAAGTATTATCATAATGCGTAGTAATGAAGGCAGTGTAGGAGCAGACAAATAGGCCCATGCGCAAAATGGGGAGCCAGGATTATCCCATGCGAATGAGGAACCTTTATACAGATAGCAGGTACTGCAGACTAGTGTAGACAGACTGCATAGTAAGTGGTACTGAGGAGACCCTATTTTATACCATACAGCAAAAATTAACTCCAGATTAAATAAAAATCCCAGGATGAAAAGTGAAAAAGTTCTCTTTTTTAAAAAAATATATCTTTATTGATTTCAGAGACAAGAAGGGAGAGAGAGAGATAGAAACATCAGAGAGAGTCATTGATCACCTGCCTCCTTCATGCCCCCGACTGGGGATCGAGCCCGCAACCCGGGCATGTGCCCTGACCCGGAATCAAACCACGGTCCCCTGGATCCTAGGCTGATGCTCAACCGCTGAGCCAAACCTGCCAGGCTCATTTTTTAAAAAGGAGAAAAATCTTTATGACCTTGGTTGGGAAGGCTATGATTTTCTAATACACTAAGGGCACAAACTAGAAAGAAAAAAAAAATTGATAAATTTGGCAGTCAAGGTCATTGGGTTTTGAGGGGGTGTTGTTTTGGTTTTTTTAACAGAAATAGTTTCAGTGGAGTCATATAAGCAGAGTCTAAATTAAAGTGGCCTGAGCAGCGAATAAGCAAGAAGTAAAGACAGGGAAATTTGACTCCTGTTTTGAGAAATATCAAAGGAAAAGAATGAATCTGAAGTCACATAATATTTTGGAAAGAGCACTGGGCCACTAGGAAACTTGGATTTGAGCCCCTGATTCTACCACTGACAGACCTTGCCCGAGTCCCTTAATCACTCTCTCTTGACTCACAACCCAGCATTCCTTCACGCACACCGTATGTACTCCCTCCCCACTTCCTGAAAAATATTTAAATCTCTGCAGCACAGAGTGCTCACTCTCTCTCCTGTACATCCTGAGTTGCTGGGGAGTTAATTGAAGTGAGTTCCTCACAAATGAGGGTGGGCATGTATAATTCTGATGCTTGGTAATTGTTCATCCATTTTCCTAACTCATTCTAAAAATGATTTATGAATCAGAGAGCTGAAAGGGACTCTAGAACCCAATCCTGTTCTTAAGACAGATGAGGCAAACTGGATACCCAGAATCCCATGGTAAGTTACTGACTGAGCTGCTTCCAGAACTCAGGCCTCCTGATTCCCGACCTTGGACTCTCACAGTATATCACGCTTCTTTCTGAAGTCTGCTTGATCACCCCAGTGCAAAAGGGCTCTATTCTCGGAATACTGATTATATTTGTTCTCTAAATATCTCATTCAACACTTATTTACTATTTAATTTTTTTAAGGTAGCTTTTCATGTATTTGGAGCAGCTCTCCACCTAGACTACAAATTCTTCAAGGACTAGGTTAGAGTTTCCTCCAGGCACATATTAGTAGATGATGTCTAATCCTGAGCGAGCTTCTCAACTTCTATTGACCTTAGTTTCCCATTTAAAAAATGGAGATATGGATTAAACCCCAATACAATGTCATTATAGTTAAAATCACTTTATACTTTCTTCCCCTAACCATCTTCATAACAACATTTTACTTCAACGAAACAATATTGTATATATTGTATATTCATCTCCAGGATTGAACTTGTGAAATTAGACTTTCTTTATGAACCACACAAGGATATTATGGGATAGAAAAAAAATAAAGTATATGAAAGCATTTGAGAATGGAAAAAGCATTATTCAGAGACCAACAACTCCTTAACAGTCAGGGCAAGAGGTCTTACTGATGTCCTCCTTAGCAGGGGAGTTGTGCTGGCAGACACCTGACGCGTTTTAGAGCGCACTGCACAAGATGCAGCGTGATTGGCTTAGAGGAGAGGAGAAATGATGACGTAAACATGCTTTCAAGCACAGTTACTAAATTAATGGTTATCATAGCAAATACATTTCTGTATCAACATGCTTGTGAAGACGTAATGGAAGAAATGATAACAGGAAATGTTAAAGCACCAAAAGTTGCACTATGCCAATTATGAAAAGTTTGTTTCTATTTGTATTGTGTATAAATTATTTAACAAGATACATCATTTAAAACGTCTTTAAATTTTTGTTATACCGAAATTACTATAATTTTTTCGCCTTACTGCTAGAACTTTACCTTTTTTTTTTAATTCAAAATCGTGTTTTAAGAAACTTAGAAATCTGCAAGAGAGGAACTCACTAAATATGCTCTGTGCTTTGGACTTATATAAATGCATTGCTCATTGTGAAACAGTGCACATTTCCGTTGTCGATCTCTGGTGATTCACTCTTGTCTTTCTTCCTGGTAGGTAGTCCCTGCGTAGCCTAGATTTACCGAGTGTTAAAAGAGATCAGCTAAATGCTGTTCTCATCAACAAGCTAACTTAGTGCAGGTGACTAAGACCCAGACTATACTTCAGAGGTAGAGATGTCAGGTTCATTGGAGAAGTAGCCAGCTGGGCCATTTGTTATTTATTGCCCAGCAAAATCTGTACATATTTTTATGATAGGTCAACCAGTGACCTATTGTTTTTAGCATATGAATGAAATCAGATCAGCATGTTGACCCCTGGTGAGTGATTATTTAGAAAAATCTTATGTCATAAGGAAATTTCCAAAATACGCTTCTGTTAGGAAAAGTTAATGACAATTGAGACTTATCATTAACATACCTTAATTAATCAAGAATGTAAAATATATTTTGCCCAGCCTGTGTGGCTCAGTCAGTTGAGCGTCATCCCATGCACCAAGAGGTCACTGGCTCCATTCCCAGTCAGGGCACATGCCCAGGTTACAGGCTCAACCCCCAGCAGGGGGCCTGCAGGAGGCAGCCAATCCATGATATTTCTCTTTCATCGATGTTTCTCTCTCTCTCTCTCTCTCTCTCCCCCCCTTCTTCTCTCTCTAAAATCAACTTTTAAAACAAGAATGTAAAATACATATTTTGTTGTTTTAAAAGTTGTAAAAATATGGAAAAGGAAGAGAAATAGAAAAAAGGGGAAAAAAACCTCATGGTTTTACAGCACAAAGACTGTCTTAATGACACTTCAGTATATTTTCTGCCAATAGTTTTCCATATTTTTTTTCTAACTTTTTAATAAAAATTTCAAACATACAGCAAAGGTGAAAAAATTTACAGTAAACAACCATCTACCCAAACCTAGAGTCTACTATTAACATTGTACTGTACAGTGTACTTGATTTGTCACATAACTATAAAATATACCCCATAATCTGTCCATCAAAATCCACCTTATATTTTAAATTTATTTCAAAGTAATTGCAGACATTAGCATGCTTCTCTCTAAATAATTCAGCATGCATATCATTAATTAAAATTCAGTATTTTATATAGTTTCTTCTTTTGAGGTAAAATTTATACACAATGAAATACAAGTCTTAGGTGTGTAATTGCTAAGCTTTGACAAATACATACCCTCTTATAACCAACCTGTATCAAAATTTGATTCTGTATTTTTTTCCATTTAACATTTAATGTATTTTCCTGTTATTATAAATCTTTGTAAGTATAACTTTAATGGCAATAACTGTTGATGTTTTAAATTTAACATTTTGATTTGAGTTGGAGGTTTCAGTAGATCCTTTTCAAGTCATTAAACCTATTGTCTCATTGACCTTTCTTTTCTTCTTTATTGATACGAATTGATCCTCCTATAATTCTGATTATCTGATGTTTCATTGACTTTTCTTTATATATTATAATGCTTTCCATCATCATGCCTTTATACCCCCTAAAAATATCAATATCCAGAATTAATGTTGAATTCTTATATTAAACAACATGGCTTTGTTTCAGCCTCTGGGATGAAACTGGGGCCAGTGCCCAAATATCCTTGGGACCAAAGCTTCCACTGTTGTGTTTTGAACCCAGATTTTTCAGTTGTTGACTGCCAGACCCAGAAGTTGAGAGAGAGCACTGTTTCTTTCCTTTATTTTCCATATCCTTTCTTTTTTAAAAAAAAAAACCTTATTTTTATTGTTTACACTATTACAGATACCCCCCTTCCCTCCCCCCTTTGCTCAGCCCC